ACAAACACCCTCCTGACCATCCTTTTCTTGGGGGCCGAGCATGACTTGCTCCCCAAGCGATGGCTTGCTGCCTTCCCAGCCTCCGCACACAGTGTGCAGTGAGGGGCAGCATTACAGTCAGCGGCGCGGTGTCCCATCTGACCGCACCGGTAGCACTGAAGCCCCCGGTCGGCCACCGCAGTACACCGCGCCTTGACGTGGCCAGAGTGAAGGCACTTGAAGCACCTAAGCTCCCTGCGTTCAAGGAGCTTCACTCTGGCCGAGACCCAACCTACGAGCAGCTTGCCCTCAACTACCCTTTTGGCAGCTTCGACAGGGCATGCCACCCAGACCGCGAAGAGGCCGGACCTCTCTTGCCGGAGCGGTCCCACCTTAACGCGGTCTACCGCGCAACCACCTTTGGCACCGACCGCTTCTGCCACTTCTTCTTTGGTGACGGAGTCATCCAACCCCGCCACCAACAGTTCCGCCGTTTTTGTTGGTCGGGAGACGGTGACATCGCCGCCGTTCCCGAACACCTCGCGGAGCTTGTCGGCGAGGAGGTCCGCCTTTGGCGCGTTATCGGCACCGGAGACCTCAATAATTGAGGCCCCGGTCGCCGCGCGCTTGAAGCGGACGCTCTCGATCTCCAGGTCTTTTAGGTTCACCCTTTGTCTCGCCTCAGCCAGCGCTTTGGCGTACGTAACCCCCTTCTCCACAGCCGTGGGATGTAGAGTCACCACGACTGCCGAGGTCTTGGGGGCCCGCAGCTTAGGCGCAGGCTTGGCCTTCTCCTGCTCCTTCTTGGGCATGGGCGCCGATCTGATGACCGCCGGCGCCTTTTCCCTTAGGCCCCTCTTCACGACCGACGCCATGGTCTCCTTCATGGATGCTGGCGCCAGCGGGAGGGGACGTTCCGTCTCCTGTTTTTTGGCCGTCTTCTTCTTCTTCTTGGCCTTCTTCTTAGCCTTTTTGCCCGATTGGGCGACTGGGGCTGTGGAAGAAGGAGAAGAAGCGGCCGGCGTCGATGTAGAAGTCGACGCCTTCGCCTTTCCCTTTGCGCCGACCTTGATCCAGCCCGATTGGACCGGTTCAGGGAGGCGCACTTCAGGCAATTCCGCCTGGGTCGTAGCCGGTGTTTGGCGTGGACGGCTTGCCGGGGGTTTACGCCTGGCTTCCGCCTCGCGCCTGTCATGAGCCAGTGCCGGTCGTAGGCGAGGCTCTGGATTCAGACGCGGCTCTAGCCCGTCTATGCGGGCGTTGAGCCGGTCCGAGAGCCTGCCTAGGATCCGGTTCTCCATGTCCTCGTCCGTATTTTGAAGGCCTGCCGCTGCGGTGGGTTTGGATGTCGCCCCCATCTGTAGCATGCACGCCTTCAACTCCGCCACCTCCTTCTTAAGTGCGGCCATCTCCGCCTGTAGGCGGGAGTTGGCCGCTTGGAGGATCCTCGTCTCCTCGTTAACGTTGCGCGTCATCAGGAGCTTCGACGCCGCCCGAATCTGCGCAACCGCCTCCTTGAGCGCCTTCTTGGCGGTCCCTTTTAGGTTGTTAGACTTGGCGCAAACGGTCGCCACGGCCGCTGCGCCAAGCTCTATTTGACCGCCAAGTTCGGCCGAGCCTAGCTCTTCTTCCTCCGATGTGTAGGTTTCCGCTAGTCGGGCCCCTACTTTCGTCGAC